AAGATTTCAAAGCCTTTAACTTCCATCATAAGCCAACAACTAAATATGACATTAAATAAAGATTGTTTACTTTTTTTAAGAACATCATTTATTATTATACTCCTAAATCTATATATTTAGTCCCTAACAAGACTTGAACCACTAATATTGGTTGAGGGCATCTATTTTATCAACTCCTATTCCTCAAGGCCAAAGGCTCTTTGTTATTTACTTAATATTAAATAAACTCTTTACTTATGTACTAGTTGTGAGACTCATGTATTACATGGGTAAATTTAAAAAAAAAGTTAAATATAAAGGTCAAAATATTTGAAAACTTTGAATTTATAAGAAAATAAGAAAAATAATGAATTATTATAATGAAAATGTTTTTTATCTTTTAAATTTAAATAAATAAACAAAAGAAACTAATGAGCTTTAATTTTGGGGATTTTAAAATTAAAAGGTAAGTTGATTAATAAAATTGATATACATTTATTACTACATTTATTGCAATTATTATATTAAAATATTATATGGAATTTAATAAAATAGAAAATCTCATAAAATGACATGTGAAAAAAAAATTAAATTGAATGAGAGTGTGACAAATGTCAAAAAAACCTTCATTTATTAAGTAGGATTAGAAACAACAATATGTATCTTTTATTCTAGTTGATCTCAATATCAATGTTTTTTATAAATTGTTATTACAAGAAACAACTTATAAATTCATAGTATACGCTTGAATCTTAATGGGGACCAAGTTACACCATCTAGTGGCTTATCACAAACATCAAGAGTAAAGTCATCGATATGTCTCCACGCATTACAAACTGAGAAAACTCCGTCCGGCTAACTCTCACTCCCGCTTATCTTCCTCTATGGAAATATTAGTTATGGTGTTTAAAAATTGTTTTGAACTAATAAATACTGGTAAAAGTTTCAAGTATTGATTTTTAGTTGATTATCAAGACTTTGAGTTTTTCCAAAAGTTAGTTTTCTATTGGGGCAAAACCATTTTAGATGAGTCTGGTTTTAGTTTCATTCAAAATAGGTTTTGTCTATATTGGTTTGGTTTCAATTTAATGAATATAGATAATATTATTATTCTTTTTCACCTCGATTTCTAGTTCTTTCTATCTATAGATTTATAAGCATTTCATAGAACTGATTTTAACATTTCCTTGTAACATAAAGTTACCTTTTACATTTTTTCTCCTATTATTGTTTCCTTGATGACATATTTGGGACTTTACAAACCTAGATTTTTCCAACGTTGATAGTGTGAGTTATAAAACCACTCATCTGGATATGAGATCCTTGCTAATCAGGTTCGTTCCTGTTTCTAACAAACCGTTGAATACATCATTTATTAGTTATACAATACCCTTGAGGAGGAAGTTGGCTTGCCGATACATACACATACTCCATTCGTAACACTACATTTTTTTCATATCCAACATTGAGGACCGGGTGTTGTGAAAAAAGAACTTTACTAGATATTAGCTATGTCGTTTCAACGTTAGAAAGTGATTCAATCCAAAGTTTTTCTTATGTACATGGTTATGTATTCAGATTTTTCTTTCTTTCATATAATCCATAGTCCCAAACCATGTTCATCTATATTACAAACATGATAGGGAATACTTATCGGATACATAGTAGGTGGGATATTAAAATATGAATACATGATTACAACTTAATTAATGCCTCACTTTGGATATGTAGCAAGTTGTTGATAAATTTTTGGTGTTAGTATTGATGTAATTGTTTTTAAGGATGAGTATGGTATCGCACCGATATCAATATGAGAATTGAATCGAGTCAGTGGCGAGTCTAGAACAGAAACATGCGTGGTTCACTATTTAAATAAACCGATATATATAGAAATAAAATAGTCAACAAAATACAAGTAGCGGGTCAGGTCGTATAAGGAGGTTGTATAAGGAAAAACAATTTAAATATCTAGCAAGTGTATCCAACGAGGTCTAATATCTTCAAATATTTTGACAATTGAATCATTACTAACACTATAAAACAAATTTTTTAATATCTGACATAAACTATAACTCAAAAATTATATTGGGTTATTTTCTTAATGGATATTTAAATAAATGGGCCATTGAGATATAAAATATGAGCTTTAAAAGTTAATGAATTATATTAACTTCTTTTTCAAACAATTTAAGATAGGTCACTTATAAAATTTTAGATGTTTAACAAATAAATCTTATATATTACTTGTATAAAAAAAAAGAATTAGGTGGGTCAAGTGACCCACCTTTCCAATATGTATACTCGCAATGTTAGTGGTAGTGGTAGTGGTACTGGGTATGATATCGACTTTCGATACTAGCATCGGTATCGATGATATCAAATCCTAAATTTCATGATTTCCCAATATGTATATTCGCCACTGAATCGAGTTAATGTTACCGGTAGCGGTAATGGTACTGGGTATGATACCGAGTTTCGATACTAGCACCGGTAGCGATGATATCAAATCCTAAATTTCATGATTTTAGAATACCGAGTACCATCTGACATTCACATAAACAATGTCGGTTCAATATCGACCGATTCAAATTATGATATTTTGGTAGTTTTACTCACCACTAATTATTTACATGAATGAAATATAAATGACAGCATAAGTTCAATATTATTAGCATAAAAAATAAACTATTTGTAAATAGCTTTAAAAACTACAAATTACTCGCTAGGTGTCTTAGATGAAATCTAGGTGCACATATATTGGTTTTGAACTGTTCTAGTTTTTTTTTTAAATCGATTTCAGTTATAATCGTTTTTTTTAAATGAAATTGCATTAAAAATTCAATTCGGTTTTGTTATAAAAAATAGAATAAAAAACATGTTTTAGTTATATAAATTGAGGGTGTGGGTGTAGTAGCACCCACGGTTTGCTACTTCACCCGTTGGAAACACCACCCCCACCTTGCGGTCTCGAGTGTGGTTTGGCCGCACTCGGCTAAATCTTGCCACACACACTCTCTCTCTAGATCAATGTTTTAAAAACCGGTTTGAACCGGTTGGTCAAACCGGTTTGAACCGGTTGGTCAAACCGGTTGGACCGGGAATCGAGGAAGGAAAGGGTTCAACTATCACCGGTTTTATGTTTATTTCTGAACCGGATTGAACCGTCCGGTTTTTACAAAAATCCGGTTGAACCAGTTCAGTTAAACTGGTTGAACCGGTTAAATTGAATAACAACACATGAAATTTAAACCTTTGCATAATAAACTTTAGTAGTTTTTTCACATTTATTAAAAAATTTCTGAATAAAAGCATATGATAAATTTTATGAAGTTTTTTGATGCATTTATATTCATCTATGACTTTAATTTTTTTTAATGCACGTGGATTGATGTAAAACTTATGATTATGAGTTATTTTAATGTTTTTAGAATGATCTACAACTTGTTTTCATTTGTATTTAATGTTTGAACTTATGGACATCATATTTTTGATCGGTGTATGTAGGTATGTCTACAAAAGTACGAAAAAAGATGAAAATTAAAGAAACCGGTTTACTCAGCGGTCGAACCGCTTAAACCGGTTGAACCGAAAACCGGTCACCATACCGGTTCAACTAAAAAACCGATTTTTAAAACATTGCTCTAGATTCCTCTCTCTCCTCTCCTCTTCTCTCGTCAATTGTTTACCAAGATATCCACACCTACTGTGTGGCCAAAAAAAACCCACACTTTTATGATAAAAATAATATGATATTTAGGTGGCATCTATTTGACTGAGAAAAAAATGGTAAAAATAACATCCCGCCCTACGGTTTAATAAACCTACCTGAAGATCGAAATGTACACCTCTAAGACCATCTCCAACCCATCTCCATTTTTTCCTCTATAAATGGAGTAAAAAATAGGGTAAATAGTGTTTCATCTCCAACCCTACTCCATTTTCTACCCAATTTTTTACCCCAAAAAACATATTCCTAGAATATTCCATTTTTATAACTTATATATATTGTCAAATATACCCCTCTACTAATTAGATTTTAACAAATATATATTATATGTTAACTTAATATAAATTAGTATATAACATGATATTATAAATATTAAATATTGCATTCAAATTATAATTAGTAGATAAAATAAACTAAAAATGTATAAAATAAAAATAAGAGAGACTAAAGTTAGCAACCAAACTTCACATCCATTTTTGGATATATGAATAGTATTCCCCATATATGGGGGGAATACTATTCATATCTCCAAAAATGGAGGTGAAATGAGGTAGGGTTGGAGAAGAATGGGGGAAAAATGGAGTTTGGGGGTGAGTTGGAGATGCCCCAAGACCATCTCCAACCCATCTCCATTTTTCCCCCATAAATGGAGTAAAAAATGGAGTAAATAGTGTTTCATCTCCAACCCTACTTCATTTTCTACCCCATTTTTTACCCAAAAAAATATATTCGTAGAATATTCCATTTTTATAACTTATATATATTGCCAAATACACCCCTCTACTAATTAAACTCTATATTTATGATTAATTAATATAAATTAGTATATAACATGATATTATAATTATTAAATATTGCATTTAAATTATAATTAGTAGATAAAATAAACTAGAAATGTATAAAATAAAAATGAAAGAGACTAAAATTGGCAACCAAACTTCACCTTCATTTTTGGAGATATGAATAGTATTCCCCCATATATGGGAGAATACTATTCATATCTCCAAAAATGGAGGTGAAAATGGGATAAGGTTGGAAAAGAATGGGGAAAGAAATGGAGTTTGGGGGTATGAATACTATTCATAACAAGATATTTACGATACAACAAATATTTGATTATTTTAGAAGCCCACTTACTAAGAAATAAAATCCCAAATTGTTTAAGGGATTTGGGTCCGAAAGTAGTTGGAATGTTGTAAAAGCCGAGTAAGGCTTTTCACAGCCCAATGGACCTGGCAATTTGGTTGGCCGTGTAATTTACAATTTTGCCATCGTTTCAAGAATATGAGAAAACCGGTATATTGTCATCGGCTCATATCTTCCTCGCGAAAAACCCTCGGCGGTCGTGGAGACCTCAAGCAAATCAGGTTACATTTCCTTCGATTTGTAGAAAATTGAAGATCAAAGAAGGGGAAAACGCTCTAAAATTTATAAAATGGCTGAAAATAAAGAGATTCCGTCTCAATACGATCTGAATGCGAAGTGGGATGCCTGTCTAGATTTGGGTGTTCGTCGTTTCGTATACTCCGCCGGTATCGGTGCTTTCGCCGGTCTTCTGTTATTCCGTGAGTTCCTATTGCATTGTCAATCCCTTGATTCATAATTTCGTTATCGCTGATTGCAAATGACGATCGATATGCTTTGATAGAATATAATAAACTATATGTCGCTAGGGCACTGTAATCAGCTTTCTGTTTGTTACGGATATTATAGGTAGTTATTGTTTGAGGAGGAGTTTCTAAATCGAACTTGCCATACATGCGTCTCCGTTTGATATCTCCTTAACCAGTTGAATAAAATTGAAGCTAAATCAGCAAATACAACCTTCTGAATTGTTAATGCTAGATTTCAATTTATCGTTTAGTTTATATATTTGACATTGGCGTATCAAGATTACTGAGATGTTTTCTTTGAAATTATTATCGAAAATGGGCATTTCTCATGGAAGTTGAAGTTATAATATTCATACTATAGAAAGGAGAAAGAATTTCATGAGTTTCCCTATATGTTTAACTAAGTTCTTTTTAACATATATGTTATTAACTAGCTGTTGAGAAGACAGCAGTATTCATTTCATATCCTCAATAGGTAATGCATACACATCTATATACCCGATCTTTGTAAGTTTCTAACAGAATAACAAATAGCAAAATCAGTTAAGACCACCACAAGCCTGTGAAATGTTCATTTTATGCTCGTCTACCAAGTCCTTAGCATGGATCCTCACGTATCATATCTAATTTATATCATTCAGTTCTTTTCAACAGCTCTTGAACACCCAACCCATGTGAAATTATCAATTTAACCCCTGCCTCTTATCATTTCTTTGATTACCTTTTCGATATCATCTTTCCTCTAATAGGTGCTAAATCTTTGGGCATTTGAAATAGTCTCATAAGTTCTAAAAATTTCTTGCAAATTTTGTTTGTGGCTGTCAAACCTTCAAGTTCTACATTTGTGCTATTCTCTTATTGTTAATTGAAACTTTGATGTAATTATAATTTTTATGCCACATGAAATGAAGTTGCTACTATAATTTATACAACACTTTGGTTATGGCAGCCCAAGGTAATTTAAAATATTATTTAATAGATGAAATGTTTTGTTAAATTAAATTGGTAGGTTCCCCTGTTACACGGTGGGCATCAATTGCTCTTGGTGCTGGAGTGGGAATTGGATCTGCATACTCTGATTGCTCTCACAAATTTGATGCCTCAACTTCCACTTCTCCCACTGTTGCTAAGGTAGCTTTGTTTTCTCACTTTATTTCTTCAATTTCTATTCATCTGAAACTGAAAGTATTCAGCAATCAGCATTTGCATGAAATCTTTTTGAATTTCTGAACACATTTCAGGACTGAAAAAAATAACCAGATGATGAGGGGTTGAAGATGTAATTGTGAAGATTGTTGATGTTTTTCAATGATCAAGTGAAATGGATTTTGAATTTTATCTTGTATGAATGAATTAGAAGTAGAGTAATAATTTTGGCAAACTGGCAATGTCCACTTTTTACATTACATTTACTGATTTTACATACATACATTTGATGTACAATCAAAACTATTTTCTTTTGGTTTTGGTCACTCCAATTTACCTTCTTCTTAATGTTTTGGTCTTCTTTTTTGCTTAGCTTTTGACAAAATTCACTCATGGTATTTATATATTTAAGATGGTATAGTTTATATGATAAGTAAAAGTTTATATCAGCAATCTCAATTATTAAAAATAAAGAGAAATAACCAATGTTCCTTTTCCCTAATTCATGCAAAGAATTCTTGTTGCTTATTGCCTCGATGGCCTTGTGCATGAATGTCAAAGTAAACTTGTTTGCCAAATATGTTCTACATTGATTTATGTTTTATAATTCGTGTTTTCAGAAGAAAAAAAAACATAGTCAAATATTTTATTTTAATTTTGTTTATACTTAAAATGACCATTTCAATATTCTCCGGCATGCCGACACTTATAACAGAGAGAGCAAAATGAGAACGGTTGTTTATTTCAAAGAGTAAAGAAAGCATAAAGAGTTTTTTTACAAATAATTTAATGGTGACGGTTGTTTATTTATTGATGCAAATCAGCGTTAAATGAGAAATTTCAAACTTATTGATATGGAAATGATACACCGACGTAATTAATCTTTTTTCCATTGCTATGATTATGCTTAATTTAGATCTTCCACGTTATTTACTTAAGTCAAAACTTTGGATTAAAAAAAAACGAATGTTCCACATTTCAAGCCCTTTATATTCACCATCATTATTTGTACAAAGGAATCAAATATACAATCCATCGAAAGCCACCATGGCCACCACCCTAACTACACCATTGTTAATGTTATCAATCTTCTTCGTACTCAATTCCATTCCAACCCCGTCATTCTCCTGTCCACTTCATCAAAAACAAGCGCTTCTCCACTTCAAATCCACCCTCACCACCATCATTAATTCCAGACTGTTCGTAGAGCTTAACTCATGGAATCCTGATTCCGATTGTTGCACATGGGACCGTGTTAAATGCAGCACAACCACAACCATTACCGAGCTCAACCTCTCCAATGTCGTTCCCGAGTTCGCCAATCCAATTCCGGTGTTCTCCGACATCTTGATTCCGCTTTTCCATATCCAATCTCTGAAACTACTTGATATCTCGAGGAATTCCTTGAACGGAGAGATTCCCGGATATGGTTTTGGTAATCTCACTGAGTTAGTTCACCTTGACATGAAGCTGAATAACTTCCAGGGTTCCATTCCTTCTCAACTTTTCAAACTTGAATCTCTTCGAATTCTTGATCTAAGTAATAATATTCTCCGGGTTGTTTTGAGCCATGAAGTTGGTAAGCTTCGAAATCTTGAACGTTTGTACTTGAATGAAAATTTTCTTTCGGGAAACATCCCAGAAGAGATTGGAAATTTAACCAAGTTAAGGGAATTATACCTTGGAAAGAATCAGTTCTCAGGAGGAATCCCATCTTCAGTTGTATACATGAAGGAACTAGAATCACTGGATTTGTCTGATAATTCTTTCTCCATGCAAATTCCTTCTGGCATAGGAATGCTAACCAACATGGCGAGACTAGACCTAAGCAAGAACCAATTCACTGGTCCAATCCCATCATCAATGCAAAAGCTGAGTAAGTTGGAAACCCTTCGACTCCAACACAACAAGTTAACCGGAGTTATACCAAGGTGGTTATTCAACATCACAACATTAAGGTATTTATTCATTGGTGGAGCTCGAAACAACTTGATTTGGGATAACAAAGCAAATATCATTCCAAGATGTAGTCTAGAACAGATCTCCATGACTTCATGTGGAATATCCGGCCAAATTCCTGAATGGATTTCATCACAGAAAGATTTGCATTTTCTTGATTTGAGCGTGAATGATTTAGAAGGTAGATTCCCAGATTGGCTCATGGAGATGGATATTTCAGGCATAGTTCTTTCAGATAACAAGCTCTCCGGATCTATCCCACCGGGACTGTTTGAATCCATGAAGTTAGAATTTCTTGCCTTGTCCCGGAATAACTTTTCCGAGGAGTTGCCGGAGAATATTGGCCATGCCAGATCGATCACGACACTTATGTTGTCGGGAAATAAATTTTCTGGACAAATTCCAATGTCTATGTCGAACATGAACAGGTTGCATGTTCTCGACTTGTCCAGAAACAGATTTTCTGGCGATAGTTTCCCTAACTTTAGAGAAAACCCTCTTTTATACGTAGACTTGTCGTACAATGACTTTTTTGGTAAGATCCCGTTGACCTTTTCTACAGAGATCTTAACTCTTTCATTGGGTGGGAATAAGTTTTCTGGTGACCTACCTTCGAATTTGACTAACTTGGTCAACCTCGAATGTCTCGATCTTTACAATAATGATCTTACTGGATATTTCCAAGATGTTTTTCCTCGAATTCCAACGCTTCAAGTCCTAAACCTAAGAAACAATTCCCTTGAAGGATTTATCCCTGGAACAATCTCAAACCTCACTTCTCTCAGGATTCTTGATCTTTCTGGGAACAAACTAACCGGAAGTATTCCACAAGGAATTGCAAACCTTGAAAGAGCGATCGAAAATCTCTATACAAAACATGCTCCCAATGATGTATTCTTCTCGGAAAATTTCCTTGAGGACATTGAGTATCAGGACTTGATAGTGAACTGGAAGAACTCCCTTCAAGGCCTATCTAGTCACAATCTTGATATGTATTGGTTCTTGGACTTGTCTAACAATAAAATCTCTGGTGATATCCCAACATCGCTAGGAAATCTCAAAAGCATAAAAGTGCTAAACATTTCACACAACAACCTCGTTGGGCAAATTCCGATGTCTTTCGGGAATCTGAGGGACATAGAGAGCTTGGATTTGTCACACAACAAAATCTCAGGTTCGATTCCACAATCACTAGTGAAGCTTGATCAACTTGCGATTCTGGATGTAAGCAACAATAGGTTAACAGGTAAGATTCCAACAGGTTGGCAAATGAACACAATGAACGAGTTGAATTTCTTTGCAAACAATAGTGGATTATGCGGTATGCAGATTATGGTCAAATGCCCCAAGGATCCCTCACCACCAAAAGCAAATGTGGAGGAGAAGGAGGAGAAACAATCATGGATTTTATGGGAAGGAGTGTGGGTTGGTTTTCCGGTTGGGTTCTTCTCATCAATCTTGATCATGGGATACTTTTTGAATTTTCTTTTGCTATTCAAATGTTGGTGAAAATTTCTTCCCTTATCAATTCGATAATCAATCCCATTAAACCAGTTGTTTGAATTTGGATATATATGATCTTGTTTCTTGGTGTTTTAAGCCAATTTCTTTTGCTACGAAATTACTACTCCGGTGTAAAAATCTGATGATGATTTTAGTGTCATCTGTCCATTTAATGTAATTGAAAAAATTATGAGTACCAAAGGAGACTCAACTTGTTATATAATACAATTTAGATACGGATTGCATACTTGTATAAGTAATTTGTATCTCAAATATGACGAATGACAAGAGGCGACGCCCTTGATGGTGGTCCCGCTGACCGCTCATCGAGTCGGGTCGAGAGGGACTGCCCCTAAACCTAAACAAAAGTTTGGATAATAAATGCAAAGGAAAACATGATAAGAATAAATGAATAATGAGAAATATGTACTTCTTGGGATCACTAAGGGGCATCTCACGATGTCGAACAATCAAGTTGCCCGGCAATTCCCCTGTGACAACCCATGCTGCCTATGGAAACGATGCTTTGTACTTGTATGATTAGTTTTTCTATGCAACTCGAGCTGTCTAACGGATTTTCCAGAAAACTGTTCTTAACTATTTTAAACTGCTATTCGTCAATCTTGTCCACTTTCGGATAGTATGAGTATTTATACTCAAAATTCACCATTTTGGGGAACCCTCTCTTAAGATATTAAGCATTCCTTAAATTCTTCTTGTACATCGCTTTCTCTTTTCATGCCCGAACTTGAAAGTGGCATTAATAATTAACCATTTTCAGATAATATGAGTATTTATACTCATAATTTGCCATTTTGAGAACCAACTTAAAATCTTCAACGTTCCTTACAATCTTCTAGTACATTGCTTTCTATTTTTCATATCTGCACTTGAAAGTGACATCGATGATTATCCCGAATTGGATGCCATGAGACCTAAGCATATGCTCGAAATATCAATTACGCACAATAAACCTACACGATCATTGATCATCATGATATCCAGAAAAACCATATTGATTATTAAACTACCCTATTTTCCCCATGTTTCTAACATACTCGTCTATAAAATAATTTATACTAAATGAACAAGGTTAAACATTTTATGGCATACAAAAATTAGTTACATGCAACACGCCATGTTATAAAGTTCTCTCATACACACATGAATGCATGTGTTTGTTTTCAAATACTATATGTCCAATAGGGGGGGGGGGGGGGGGGGGGGGTTGTCAAACTAAACAATTATGGAATCGAGAATGCAGGAAGGAACGATATTTAATCGCGTGTGATTAATAAATATAATAAAAAAATCATTAAAAAATTAAAAGAATTTATAATTGTATTAAAAAATATATTGTATTGATATTAATGTTACTTTATAGAGAATTAAATATTAAAATTTTTAATATATTAAAAGAAAATCGATAAATATAACATTCCAAAATAGATTGTTAGCATTCGTTCTCACATTTTTGATTTCATAAATTTTCTTGTTTAAACCTAGTTTTGTCTAATCGAACATTTGATTGTAACTTGTATTCACATTCATTCTTAACCCCGCCAGAAATGGCTAACCGTTTGTCTTGATGATAACCCACCGCCACCGGCACCTTTCCACCTCCATCCTACCATCATTACCGTTTTCTTAAAATGAACACCTATAAAAAAATTAATTCTAAGCACATTTTCTAATTTTTTAAAAACCGAAAATACTAAATAAATAAATTTTAACTAAACGTTTTTTTAAAATTTCTAATAAAAACTTAAAATGAAAAATTGAAAACTTATTTCATTTTTCTGAAACCGTAACTAATGGCAGCCTTAGATTATAGGGTTATTTCCATAAAAGACCTTATATTTTGACTTTTTTTCTTTTTAGACCTAGAATTTTTTTCTTTTCCGAAAAAGACCTAACTTTTACCTGTTACTTGTTATTTCAGACCTAGCAAGTCACCAACATGTAAATTAGGTATTTTTGTTTCATAAAAGACCCTATATTTTGTAGTTTTTTCCATTTTAGACCTAAAACGTTTTTTTTTTCAAAATAAACTCAACTTTAAAATTGGTTATAATCTTCAAGACCAAATATATAAGGTACTTCTTGACTACACCGAAAAAGAAAGTATACATGTATAAACTAAAAAATGTTATCTAATCTATTATCTTTTGAACGAATATAACCTAGAAGAATTGCAAAATTTTATTTTTGTCTAAAAGATATAATTAAACTTTATCTTGGATATATATTATATCATTAAACTTGATATATTGTTTATAAAAAATGTTATTATTACAGCTAATAAAAAGTTTGATGTTAATTTAATATTTTTTGGTAACATTGATAATACATGGCTAGGAAGAATCTTTTAGCATAATAACAAATTTTTTTATTTGTAGAAAAAAAACATACCATGTAATTTAACAAACTGTATACAAAATAAATTTTTTTAGTTTGTCTATTATACCTATTTCGTGAGTTTGGACATATTTTCCTCTCACTTTTCTATATTATTTTTTTGGTTGAATTTTTTAATCAATTTTTTTAGAACAATTAATAAATGCACTCACTATCATACTCATAAACCAAAGTCATAGAATATTTGGTAGCATTAGCCCATTATTGAATAATATGTTATAATTATATCAAATACATATATAAAAATATTAATCCTAAACATTCGTAATAGTTTTGTTTAGATATATCAGATTCAAGTTTAAGACATTCTTAAAAAATTTAACATCACATATAAATACATAAAACTATATTATGGGATTGAAACCATTTGAACATAAGTTAAAAATCCAAATAACAAAAATGATACCGCACACTTAAATATCCAAACACATGGTGTTTGTATATCGCGATTATTAATTCTCAAGTATAATCACATTTATTACCAAAATAAAATTTAGGATTTCATTTTAATTTAAAAAAGCTTGAAGGTGTTTGGTACTCAATTGGTTATTGCATTTATGATCTTAAAATTATATAAAATCTCTTTTGTGCTGTTAGGAAATTTGACTTCACATGTCTATGTATTCAACTCCTAGCTTTTGGTAATTGTTTTATGTAACTGAAATCGAAAAACTAATTAAACCAATAATATAAAAAAAAAGGTTTTGGAACTAGAAACTGTAAATTTTCCCAAATGTAGACACAACATTTTGTTATTATTTATATTACACCCGTGAAAAAAAAATATACTATACAACTTCATTGTATGTGTAATGGTTTAAAAAAAATGTTTTATGCGTAAATCAATACGACGCCAAAAGATGCAAAAGTTAAATCGTTGTCTATTATTTAAACTAAAAGAATATAAGTATTTTTTTATGCCTTAACGAAATTAAGCTACATGAACTTGGTGTAGTGAAGAAATAGCTTTTACAACTACTTTGTGTTGTATAAATATACGTGGACAAAGAATTGTCCAATCATAAATAAATGTAGGCATAATAATTACATTGTTTAAATCGATGTCTATGTATAAACTAAAAAGATATAATCACGTTTTTATACAACTAATCTTGAAATAAAAAACATTTTAGGTCTAAATTGGAAAAAAGTACTAAATGTAGGGTCTTTTATGAAATAAAAATACTTAATTTCCTTTTGGTGACCTGTTAGGTCTAAAACAACAAGTATCAGGTAAAAAGTTATGTCTTTTTTGAAAAAGAAAAAAGTTTTAGGTCTAAAAAGAAAAAAAAAATCAAAATATAGGGTCTTTTATGAAAATAACCTTAGATTATATGCAAATTTCAATATACAATTGTCCATAACTCTACAAACCATACAACACTTCCATTCATTCAAGAAATTGTTAAAAACCAAGAAAGAGATTGCCATTGGGAAGAAAAAACCTATATTACGTACAAAGATATATTAGTTTTTCTCTACAACCAATCCATTATGCAACCAATTTCTCATCATCGTAAAAGCTTCTTCTGCATCTGTATCATCTTCAACTGACGCTGGTCGATGAACAAATCCATGGCCTCTCCCTTTGAAAACCACGACCTTTGATCCCCCCACATTCTCCCTCTCGATCTCTTCCACCACCTTCACCGGACACAGTGGATCCTCATCCCCTGTTATATACAAAACCGGCACCTTCACTTTAGCAGCAACAGAAGGGTCGATTCTTGTGCCATAGAACGAGACTCCGAGCCCAAAACAACCCTCGTCATCTTCAGCCAGAACCTCAATTACCTTTCCGCCACCAAAACAAAACCCAACGATCCCAAGCTTCTTTGAGATTCCTGCAGCTACGAATTCATCTACCATCCATTTGATCGAAGTTGCGATGTTTTTTGTAGCGATTTGGTTATGAGTTGCTCGCCATTCTTCAAATGAGGATTTTGGGCGTTCTTTTCCCCATGGATCTCCGTTGAATAGGTCGGGTAATAGAACGCTGCGTTATAACTTATAAGCATCAAAGCTTTCCTTACAAGAACAACAATGGATTTGGAATATTAATTCCAAGGTAGAATTAGTAAACATACTTGTAACCATTGCAGGCGATTCGATAAGCGAAATCTCTGGTACATGAATCTTCAAACCCAAAGACGTCAGACAATAGCAAAATACCAGTTCCATTGTTGTTCTTCACAGCGGAGAGAAGATAAGCAGGAACAGTATCGGATCCTTCACCTATAGAAACCTCAGCTCCATTCACCAGCTCACATGCCTCCTCATCGGTGCCTTCTTCGATCTGCACCTGACTGCAACACACCCGGCGATATGATTTTTTCCTAGGCGAGGATCTCCGGCAACGATTTAAGCTTAGATTGCAGATTTTCTGGACAATAACTGAAGCTTTACGGTCAACATTCAACTTAACATTGAAATATCTGAGATTTTTATAATTATGCTCTTCCCAATCCAAAACCACCGTCCACTTTTACAGGAGCAAATAAGAAGATTAAGAATGAGAAATCGGAGACTTACAGAGAAGGAAAGGCGCGGCGAGAAGCTTGGATTCGGAGCATTGAGAAGATACCTGGAGGTTGTTGCTGATGAAGCCATAATAATGGCGGAGGTTAACCCCATTTCTTGCTCTGGTCTCAATGTGGATTCTGTAATGTGGAAGATGATGGAAGATATTTGGAGAGAAAATAGGAATAATACAAAACAAATATCTGTTCAGAAAATTCTAGGCCTCAGGCCTCATGAACATATCTTATTTTTATATAACAAAATAACAAATAATCATATTCAAACAACTAGTGGAAAATCGCAAATAATCATTATTTGTAAACAATTTTATACCACGTGTGCAAACAAACACTAATTGCGGACGTGTTTGTAACTTTTTAAATAAGTTTAGTCTTTTTGGTTTCAAGAAAGAGTTAAAAAAAAAAAATGAAAAATGTGATGAGTTTTAAATGGTTTTCTCAAATTTATATTGCATATTAATGAAAAACATAATTCTACTATTTCTACAAGGTCAAGAAACAAGCATTTTTATTAGTTGCATTGTGATGAGCAATTTACAAATTCTGTATAATAAATTAGAAAATGCACAAGTTTGGTCCCTCTAGTTTTGTATTTATTGCATGTTCAAGGACTGTATAGCAAGCTTGGCTGCAGTCATGGAGACTCTGTTCTTGACAAAACCCGTACAATTTTCAAGTCTTTGTAGTGTTTCTTTAACATCCATTGCTTTCAGCTTTTCTTCTTGCAACTTCAACATTTCTGATTGTGTAGATCCTGTCATAATTCATAACAATTTTCATATTCAGTCACTGTGCTTTGAAAGATACACCCAGTTATAGCATCTTTCAATTAATCCAAATCATGAATTGACTTTATACCTGAAACATTTTGAAGTGCAGCAAAGGACACACGCTCAGCAAAAGATGGAATGAAAGCTTCTTCACAATCTATAGAAGGTTCTTTAAGAGCCCATTCTAAGGAGTTTGCTGTTTGTGTTTGCAATGGTTCATCTTTCGCAGCCTAATCATTAGCATAAGCAGAAAAGTTTAACCATTTTGTAAATAATCTCAATGTATGACAGTTGTTTTTTGACTTGCGACTTAATACAGAACCTTTAACTTTATTTCCAAACTATTCAAACTGTGAAGAGCTTCTTTCAATTCTACAACTTTGGAACTTATTTCACTTTCACTCTCTGGAACATTGTCCTGCAATGGTAATACAATGCCTTCTAAATAAGGATCCGCCTGCAGAATCACTAGAAATTACCCCTTTGATTGAAGTAATTTTTAAACAATTAAAAGATTCTTATGAAGAATCGACACATTATTGCTAACATACCTTTGCAAATTTCACAAGTGTGACGCGACCAATTCCTCTAATGGAGACCAAGGCCCCGACATCTAATTGTTCAACCTGTCACAAGTCATAACACTGAGAGGACAATGAGTTTGACTGAAAAAAATAGTAAAAAATGAAAAGGAATTAAAGGAAATGTGATGATTAATGGAAGCTTACCTTCTCTATAGAAACCAAACAACCGTATCTAGCAGCGAAGGATGCTTCTTTGGATGAGGAACTCACCACAATGGGATCCAACACGAAATGCACAAAAAGTTTCTTCTTTTTGAACAAACACTGAAATCAAAGAGTAAAAGCATATCACATCAACAATTTGAAGTAAAGAACTAAAGAAGGATAACACTTTTGCAGGATAGAACTATAAAAGAAGCGAATTCAATACCTCATCCAACAACTTCAGGTATCTTGCTTCAAATAGGTGAAGTGTCTTTGCCTCAGATGGAACTAGCACCTGAAATACATAAGAAAAATGTCCGCATTTCAAATTAAGTATAAGCTTCAAAATTGAGATGAATTTGAGACCTTGAGTGTGGGGTTTACGATATGTTAAATCATAGCGAAGTTACATAAGAAACGAGATACCTGATCAGAAGGAAAAGGGAGAAGCGGAAGCTCCAAGAAGGCCGCGTAGGCTACGATATTGCGTCGTAATTTCTTATTGGGGCGTCTGAGTAGTTGGGTTTTGGAATCTAGACGCCGGAGGGAATAATAATAAAGCAGATGAGAGGTTGTAATTGAGGCTGCTCCTCCTCCTCTACTTGTTCCTACTGTAGGGAAGGAATTGAGAGTGATGTTGGACAAAAGAACGGAGGAACGAGAAACGGCAGCAATGGAAGTGGAAGTTGAATTTGTGGTGAAGGCATTGAGAGTGGTTCTACAACTCATCTTTGACGACTGCAACAACAAAGTTCGTGAAGGGGGGATAGGGGTTCTTCGGCCATGATTATGTGGAAACCTGTTACCCCACGTACCCGTGTCACGAATTTCATTTTGTTTCGGAGGCGTTTGGGTTGGTTTTCACTTTACTAAGGTAAATAAGAATCACGTTAATAAGAATATAAATTGCAGTTGACTTATAGGATAATTTTTTATTTATTTTTTTAATATATATTTGAGTAACTTTTTTTTATACACATTTAGATAACAAACTTGTTGGAAATGTTCATATATGACCATTATATGCGAACACTTCTAACAAGTTCGTTACTTAGATGTGTAAAAAAAGTTACCCAAATGTAAAAAAAACGAAAAGGTAATTACCATGATAATTCAATTTCCATTTCCTTTTAACTTTACCTTCTAATTTGGATTTGGTATAAAATTTAACCTAAATTGTAAATTTTTTAAAAACCACACCATTTTAGTAAATATATTTTTAAAATACACTGTTTTGGTAAGGGAAAAAACATATTGTCATTTTACCTAAGGCTAACCGGAATGGAACGAATTCCACGCGTGAGAATCTCAGGTGGCACCCCAAGAGACGTGTGAACACCGCCCCCAGGGTCGGTCGGTTGGGTGTGACGTGAGTGCTAGGACGGAAGAAGACGGGGGTTTTGATTGGTTGCCTCAAATTTAAACGTTGGGGGGGCATATTTCGACCGTTTGAAAAGCATTAAAAAAAATTATATTCATTTATTAATTAACTTTCTTTCTATATATACATTCATTTTACACATTTTTTCACAACAAAACACACTCTTCCAAAACAATCACACACTTAAAAAAAGGATAATTTTTTCGGTTCAATTTCTTCTTCATTCGATGATGATTCTGATGACGAGTTGGTTTTGCACACACTGTTGTCTGCGACACAAGACATGGTACGTGAGAGAGGCGAAAATTCACACGGCGAGAAAAAACGTAGAAAATGGATCAAGCGGGATCGAGAAGCGGCAAATGAACTTTTGGTACGTGATTATTTTGCCCCTGATAGTTTATATGATCTATCAAAATTTGAAGAACGTTTTCGTATTAGTAAAAATTTATTCTTACGTATAGCTAGAGATTTGGAACGTAATTATGAGTTTTTCCAATTAAGATGGGATGCTAGAGGTAAACGCGATTTTACTACAATACAAAAATGTACGACCGCTTTTAGACAATTGAGATATGACATAGTCGCAGACGCATCAGATGAGTATTTGAAAATGTCTGAGAGAACGGATCGAGATTGTACATATCTTTTTGTGAGTGTGTTATAGAGCTTTACCGTTACATATACTTGCGACATCCGACTAAAAGTGATGTCGAACAGTTGTATGTCGCGCATCAAGCTAAACATTGTTTTCTAGGGATGCTTGGTAGCATTGATTGTACACAATTGGAGTGGGCAAATTGTCCCAACGTGTGGCATGGTCAATTCACGCGAGGTGATCATGGGGTGTCGACTGTTATATTGGAGGCGATTGTTTCACAGGACCTATGGTTTTGGCATGCATTATTACACTCGAGTCCTGGTAAGTTTCCCTTTCTACCCTTTAAATTGTAATCTTTGCAACTTTGGCCCTTACGTTGGGCGTACCTGGATGGTACACTGGGCGTAAAGGGGCATTAAGCGAAACAGTGACGTTTTGGAGAGTACGTTGGGCGTACGCTGAGTACGTTGGGCATACTCTGTCTACACATAAAACCTAATCTTTAGGGTTTGGACCATATATATTGAACCTTAATTCCTATTCCCTCATCCCATTTCCAGCCTCCATCACTAGAAACGTTCCCCCTTGCAAACCCTAGCCCCATTGTTGCATTTGGAAGCTTGAGAGTGTGTTTTGGTGTATTTTAAAGGAAGAAGAAGGTGGTGGTGAAGCTTGGAAGCTAGAAACAAGCTTGGATTTGGAAGTCTTGCATTATTCTCCATCTCCAGAAGGTATAAAGTTCATACCTTGGTGTTAACTTGATAGATCTTGTTATATGATAATACTATGAGCTTTTGTCCCCAAACTAAGACTTTCTTGTGCATGGCATGCTATAGAACATATGGGTTGTCCTTTTGGACGTTTTACCATGTCTTGAGTCATAAAAATGTGATCTTGGCCTCTTGGTTTCCCTCATGCAAGTTATTAAGAGCTTTAGTGATTAAGTGTGACAACCCGAAAGATATTCCGTTAACATAACCCATGTCGTTAATAAAATTTATTTTATTTTGGGTTTTTTCGTTAACTTTCAAATTAAATAATTCATTTAGAATTATTGTTATTATTTCCTATGTGTTGAAACGAAATATTTATTTGAGTGAAAACACTCTAAATAATCTTTTAAAAATTTCTAGACTACGACTAATACGGGTAATGGTCATTTACCCGGGTAAAATATTAAGCTCCGTTTAATGTCCGTATTGGGTGTATTCCCACCGGGTCACTAACTCTAGTCATACAAAAGGGTGGAGTGACCACCACTTGAGCTTTTCCCACACTTGAACTTTCTCTCTCTACTCTCTCTCTAGAAATCGAACTCTCTCAAGAATCTTCACTTTCAAGCTCCAATTTGGTAAGTGATCCTTCCTAACTAGTTGTTTATCCTATCATGCATGCAAATCTATGTTCAAACTACCCAAGAAGCATCAAAAACTCGTGTTTACGGTTTGGGGAGCCTCCCAAAAACCGTAAACTCCTTCAATGGGGGTTTTGAAGCCCCAAAACCCTTCCAAACCTCTTCTAATGCTTAGATCCTTACATGCATGGAGTTAGAACCACAAGATCATAAATTTTTGGCCATGAACATGAGTTTACGGTTCTTGAATGTTCAAGAACCGTAAACACCCTTTTATGGGGTTTTGATGCTCCTTAACCCTTCCAATGCATGTCTAATGGCCTTGAATCTTGCTTGGATGATCTTAGAACCCTAAAACATGTCCAAATGAGCATAAACTCGAGTTTACGGTTTGGGAACGTCTCCCAAAACTGTAAACACCTTCCAAGGTTGTTTTAATGCTCTAAACACTTAGCATGGCTTGTATTCGAGTCTAGAACTTGCATGAATGGCCTACAAACCACCAAAACACATGGAAAATGGACAAACTTGGACAAGGGTGGGTTTACGGCCGTAAACCCATGAGTTTACGACCGTAAACTCCCCAAGGGTGGTCCAAGGACCGTAAACCCTAGTTCCTAGGCCATTTCATGTCCCGATCACTTCCTAAGCCATGGAATCAACCTTAGATCCTTCCTATGTGCAAGATGAGACCTTGGATCACTCAAACCTCCACACCCATGAGTTTACGGCCGTAAACTCATGGGGGATGTGGTCTTTGGACCGTAAACTCTCCTAAGGGTTTACAATTGAAGAGTAAACCCTCCTAACTAAGTCATACACTCCTTAAATGCAACCCGTATCATTCCTAACACTTGGAATCAAGTGTTTTCTTGCATTGAGTGTGTCTACTTGTTTAATTAGTAGTATAATAACTAATTGGATACAATTGGGTATCACCTCATGTTACTTAGGACCTTTGCGTGTGATCAAGTCCTAAGTTGTCTACTAGCATCTAAATCGGCACATTCTCGTCAGGTGAGTTCATACCCCTACACCTTTTCCAAGTTTTTCATGTTTTCAGGGGGGGGGAATACAAGCAAAATCATAAAGGTTTTCATAACTTGAAAGAAACTGATGTAATTATACGATTCTCCGATGAACTTATGATACTTTATCCCTCTTGTAATAAGCAGAGCATAAGGGATATTTTCTAAATATAATTACATAGTTTTCCTAAAACTGTATGGAACTTATCAAACCTTTCCAATCTAAATGGGAAAAACTTATCAAACTGTGCAAATTATTATGGGAATAATTTGGGGATCTTTACCACTTGTTATACGAATTTCGATTTCATGCAAAGTCAAAAATATAAACTATGTCTGATTTAGTTTATCTATGTCTAATCTAGAGTATCATGCTAAATAATTATGTTGTATTTAATTATTTATACTCTACTATGTTCCAAACTAATTCGAAACTCGAAAACGATTGAATTATCCGAAAATCTGTAAATACTAGCTTGTGAGACTTATCTTCGTTATATCCTTCGGGATACCAATAAATCCTCACCGGAAGTATAACCAGAGTCTCCTGGAGGGAGAACGTGAAATTTGTGGATAGATCTATTCGGGACTGACAATCCCACACCTAAACTGTTAGCTACAGTTAGGCGGGCACGCCTGGGGTGACAAATTTTGTAAATCGAACGACGCCTGAAGAACGTCAAGGAGGTCACGGGTCATATCAGTATGGTTATACGGCTCACAATACGTATTTAACAAACCAACTTGGTTACGGATTTTTCTTACTTTATTTCAACTATAGTTTTATGTATTAAAACTACCTGCTTTCACACTGGATGGTATTCCAGGGATCTAATCTAATAGTTTTATGTATTAAAACTACCTACTTTCACACTGGATGGTATTCCAGGGATCTAATCTAATAGTTTTATGTATTAAAACTACCTACTTTCACACTGGATGGTATTCCAGGGATCTAATCTAATAGTTTTATGTATTAAAACTATCTACTTTCACACTGGATGGTATTCCAGGGATCTAATATATAGTTTTATGTATTAAAACTACCTACTTTCGTACTGGATGGTAATTCCAGGGTCATAACTTATGGTTTTCATATCTTATTCAAATAAACTTACATGTTAGAAAATATGGGATTTTCTGGGAAAAACATGCCTATGTATTTCATAACTCAGTAACGATGGCTTTTCAATATTACAGTAAACTTTTACAAAAAGGAAATGAATTATATAACACTGGATTAAATAAACGATTTTTCCTTAACAAAATACGCTTATGAACTCACCAGCTTTATGCTGATATTTCAAAACTGCTTGTATTCTCAGGTTCTCATTAGACAGGTACTCTTGTCAATCTTTTGGAGAAGACGGAGCATCTAGAAGACTCGTCTTTACATTTGTTCTAATTAATGCATCTATG